TATAAGTGTGTGTGCATATCCATTACTTCTGTACTCAGACAATAGAGATGAGTTAAAATGACATCATAAGATCTCACACTTTCCACTTCCTGACACTTCCTTTTCTCTTTTTCTTTCTTTGTCTGCACTGTTTCTACCTTTACTTTGTATAATATATTTTGTTTATATTTTAATTATATAAAAACTCTAAATTAAAAAAGAAAAGAAACCATGTGTTCTAGAGCCGAGGTGGCGCAGTGATTAAATGCAGCACTGCAGGCTACTTCAGCTGACTGCAGTTCTGCATTTCAGCTGTTCAAATCTCACCGGCTCAGGGTTGACTCAGCCTTCCATCCTTCCGAGGTGGGTAAAATGAGGACCCGGATTGTTTTGGGGGGGCAATATGCTGACTCTGTAAACCGCTTAGAGAGGGCTGAAAGCCCTATGAAGCGGTATATAAGTCTAACTGCTATTGCTATTGCTATTCTATTGTATATTCAGCAATATTGAGTGTATTTCCCCAAATTGTACTCCTTGTAATATTGAAAATAAAATAAAAATAAAAGGACCATTTCTCACTTACAGTTAAAGATATAAAACTTGATCTTATCAGGCTGTAATCAAGACAAGAAATCAATTGAAATGGTAACTTCTGCTCAAGAGAAGTAGGGAGTATGTAGCGTAGGGAGAACATATACAAGAAACTTGAACATTTAGTATAATTAGAACTCACATTTAATACAGCAGTTTCTGGAATTTTTCCATAATGGCTTTTTAGCTTTTCTATGGTAACACCTATTTATCAGAATAAATCACTTATTTATTTATGAGAATTTTATGTATCTAGCTTCAGAGCAGAAACCTGATAAAAATGTTAACAATATAAGGATTATTGATACATTTATTGATACATGAGGGTAGAACAAGAGGCAGTGGGTAGAAATTAAGCAAGGAGAGAAACAACTTAGAACTGTGGAGAAATTTCCTGATAGTTAGAACAATTAATCCATGGAACAGCTTGCCTCCAGAAGTTGTGAATATCCAACACTGGAAGTCTTTAAGAAAATGTTGGATAGCCATTTGTCTGAAACGGTATAGGGTTTCCTGCCTAGGCAGGGGGTTGGACTAGAAGACCTCCAAGGTCCCTTCCAACTCTGCTATTGTATTATTATTGTATTATGGCAATGGAATATAATATATAGAGAGTATATCTATATAAGTCATTTTGGCTTTTTAT